TTAATTTCCACCTGCCCATAAAGATTTAGAAGATTAAAAGCTCATTGCAGGTATAATTAACAGCACATGCTCATGTGTCAAAAAAAGCCCACATAATTTTAGCCCATCTGATCTGGCATCGGTTTACGAATCTGGTCTTGTCAAATCCCACAAAGGGTGCGCAGAGGTGATTTCACGTATACTTATCAGCACACTGCTGTGAAGCAACCACACAAAGTTCTAGAATACTAGCTATTTTGATTGCAGAAAGATCACCAGCGGCAAATTTCACCTGCCGTAAAGGGAGCGTAAAAATTGTTTTCTTGCTTACTTACCCGAAAAGAAGTCGTGGACCATACACAGAAGATTTCAGCAATTTGTCCAGTCAAATTACAAAATTGCTAATATCAGCATTTCACGTATTCAAACGTGAGATGAAGGGGGATAAAAACGCTCATATTTGTTTACAGGTCCATTTGACGAGAAGCATTCTTCTCACTCTGCTCCTGTCTTAGCATGAAGCTAACAACGCCTCAAATTGAAAACCCAGGCTGGAACGCACCAGGCGAGCCAGTGTGATTATGCGTTTTTGCACTTTCTGTGCCGTAGCAAGATCGCAAGGAATCACGGTAACTAACCCAGTGACACACTGGCATCGAAGTTCAGGAAGTTAACTGTGCAGCTATGTGGTATGTTAGCTGTAGATATCGACTTCAGCGACCCGACAAATAGAAACTTGCTGGTCCGCGAAAAAGGCCACACTAGAAGAGCTTAATTTGAAATCTTTTAGTCGCCCATGAGCAGGGAACACTCCCTTAAAATTAAAGCCTTAAGCTTTTCTCGTTCCCGAATTAGCGGTTTTTCCCATCAAAATTTCCACGCGCCCGTACGTGAGTACCGGACGGTTTTAAGGAGCTGAATTTGTAATCTTTTTGTCATACCTGATTAGGGGAACATTATCCTAAAGTTTCAGCTTTCTAGCTTTTTCGTCCCCGGGTTAGTGATTTTCGTGCCAAAATTTCCACGTGCCCGTACATGGGCCCGGACGCTTCTAAGCACCTGATTTTGCTCGTACATGAGTAGGGAATATTGCCATAAAGTTTGAGTTTTTTAGCTTTGCCCGTTCCCGGGCTAGTAATTTTCGCGCCAAAATTTCCACGCACTCGTACATGAGCCCCGGGCAGTCATAAGGAGCTGAGTTCGAAAACTTTTGGTCGTGCATGAGTGGGGAACATTCCCCTATGTTTTCAGCCTTCTAGCTTTTCTCATTCCCGAGTTATAAATTTTCCCGCCATAACTTTCACGTGTCTGTACGTAAATCCCTGGCCGTCCTGGGCAGCTGAGTTTGAAAACTTTTTGTCATACACGAGTAGGGAACATTACCTTTTGTTTCAAACTTTCTAGCTTTTCTCGTTCCCGAGTTATCAATTTTCTCGTCAAAAATTTCACGTGCTCGCACGCGGGGTCCAGACGTGCGCGAGAGTTGATACCGCGGACCTGGGGTGG